TTGCGTTCTCTCTCTTTCTCTCAAAAAAAATAAAATTAGAGAGAGAGAGAGAGAGAGAGAGAGAGAATATGAGTGAGGGAGGGGCAGAGAGACAGGGAGAGAGAGAATCCCAAGCAGCTCTGTGCTGTCAGTGCAGAGCCTGATGTGGGGCTCAGACTCACGAACTTAGGGGATCATGACCTGAACTGAAACTGAGAGTCAGATGCTTAACCGACTGAGCACCTAGGTGCCCCCGTATCTTCATTTTTAATGGGGATCCTACTATACATATTTTTCTATAATATTTGTCTTTTATTTAATAATAAATACTAATTAGAGATCTTCCCAATCTTATTTTTCTTTTTCTGTTTTTAACAACTATGTATATTTTCCATAATGTTGCGTTGACTATTCATGTACATATACTTTTACACATTCAGGACGATTTCCGTACATTAAATTCCTAAAGGTAGAATTCCTAGGTCCAAGGAAATTTCTGAAACTGTTGATCATATTTTCTTTTCTAAGATCCTTTGTGGTTTGCTTATCATTTTTCTGGAGAGTTTATTATGGAGCTCCAGAAGTTTGGGAAACAAATAGTTTTCTAAAATAAATTTCCTAACAGTGAATTTGTTCCCCTTGGCAAAAGAGTTGTAAACCATGAGTTTTATTAAAAAAATAAATAAATAAAAAACAAAAAACTAATTGATCTCTTAAACTAGGCATTTTAGGTAACACATGGGAGATAATGACTCTTCCTCGAACTAATGGGACAAATGGGGAGTTTTTGAAAGGATAATAGGAAAACACTGTTGAAAAACGTCTTATGGGGTGCTTGGGTGGCTCAGTTGGTTAAGCATCTGACTCTTGATTTTGGCTCAGGTCATGATCTCTCATTTCATGAGTCTGAGCCCTATGTCAGGCTCTGTGCTGACAGAACTCGGAGCCTGCTTGGAATTCTCTCTCTCTCTGCCCCTCCCCTGCTCACGCTCACGAGCTCTCTCTCTCTGTCTGTCTCTCGCTCTCTCTCTGTTTCTCTCAAAATAAATTTAAAAAAAAGTCTTATAATATTTTCCAGTGGAGAAACCTGGCAGACACCACCTTTCCCAGGGACCAAAGTTAGTATCAAATGTGATAGTCACATTGATAACATGCAGTGATGTAATACTGTTTACAGATGGGCACATTGCCTCTGTGATGTCCTGCCCTCAAACCCATAAACCCAATGTAATCATGAGACAACATTAGAGAAATTCAATTTGAGGGGCATTGTACAAAACACTTGACTGTTACTCTTCAAAAGTGCTAATGCTCTATAAAACCAGCAAAGACTGAGTAACTCAGGTTGGGGTGCAGTAAGGAAACAATGAAAACTAAATGCAATGTGATATTTTGGATCAGATCCTGTAACAGAAAGGGTATTAGTGGAAAAATTTGTCTTTATAAGACTTGTTTTTATAAATGTGTTGTAATAGATGCTAACTTTAGGAACCTGAGTGTAGCTCCCTGTAAGTCTAAGAATATTTCAAATTAAGTTTTTTTGAGGTATCTCTTCACTCTGTATAGTGTACTCCTAAAAAATTTGTCATCCCTGTAAAACTGCTTCTGTCCTCTTAAATCCAAGAGATCCTCTTGTCTCAAGGAGTGAAGTCCATTGAGCTTTTACGGACTAGAGATTTGGTGCAGTTGGAAGAGATGTTATGAATGGTTGAGGCCGTGTAGACAAGGCCATAGCAAAGTCATAACAATGTGGTCTGGGGGCATGAGTGGTACTATGGCAAGAGATCAGGCATGAAGAATCAGAGAACTGAGTGGAATTTGCTTTGGAATGGATAGCCAAAGAGTAAGATGTGAAAAAGCCACTCAAGAATGATTTGGCAAAGTATAACAGCTTAGAACAAAATTTTGCAAATAGGAGACAAAGTCACCCTAACTAGTCATTATCTGCCACTCACAAGTATGATACAAAAGAAGACAGATAAACTTAAGCTGTAGTGGCAACCTCTCCAGTTGGAACAGGGAGCCTTATGTAAAGATGAGGCTGGATTGAGAATATCTGAAGCCTTTTGCAGTTAGCCTATGTCTAGACATTCCTTACAGAAGATATGACCCAGCAAGCGTAAATTAGTAACCCAAAGAGGAATGCAAAATGGGTAGGACCAGTGGTTGAAACTGGATTACCAATACTCAGGAGGAGACATTATTTAAATAGGACACTTTCCCCCCGCACTAACATAACGTAAACTAGTTGTATCTGTGCCCAAGATTAACTGTTTGGTCACCTTCTTGGTAAATTGGAATCTAAAAGTTGATATAAAATTTCTTGAATGGGTGGACCACCTGGTTACAATTTTGGTTTCAGTTCTGTATTGTGCAATTGGCACCCAAATAAGAACTGTCTCCAAATGTGAGTAGGCTGAGTGCGTCATAGACACTCAAAAGTCTTCTTTTGTATTGCTATTCCAAAGTGTCAGAAGATGAGCAATTTAATAAAATGGTCCTTTTTTATGGCACATTTTCTTTACCATGATGTGTCTGACTTAGAGCAGTGGTCAGCAAACTTTTCCTGTAAGGGGCCAGACTATAAATATTTTTGGCTTTGCAGCCACAACTAGTCTCTGTTGCCTATTTGTCATTGCCCTTTCCGCCCCCCCCTTAACCCTTTAAAAATGTGTTTTCTGTGTCTTTAACCATATTTTCATACTTTGTGATAGTGGCTGAAGTTTGTAGACTGGTATTAAACAATGATCTAAAATCAAGTTTCTGGCTGTAGATTTTTTGCCACTGGCAAAAAAAAAAATGTTATAAACATGACTTTAATGGATTTATAAGAAAATAGAATATGTAGCTGATCTCTTACTGCAGGCATTTTGGCACATTCGTGGGAAATCTTCTCTAATAAATATGACACCTGCATAAAACACATCATGCCCTGAAAGTCTGCTCTCAGGAAATTGCCTAGTTTTTAATTTCAAGTTATTATTTATTCAAGACATTTTTTGTTTCTAAATAGGCTAATTATTAAAGTGGTGTCATCTTTTAATATGTAACAGTGTTGATCTATTTTTCAAAGATTCAGTATACCCCCCTTTCCTCATTTAACCCATTAACTGCCTTCTTTTTATAGATTTGTTGCTATAGATCACATTCTTTCAGTGCCTCATTTTACAATTGCGTTACAGTTTCTGCCTCTGATTTGGAGCTAAGCTCTGGCTTTTCACTCTTTTGTCCCAAGGCCACACTTCCAGACCCCAGAAGGTGGACTTTAGAACCACCAAACCATCCTTGAGATCACTGTGGAACCAACATCCCAATGCTCCTAAAAGACTAAGTGGTTGGATGTCATGCTACAGATTTTAGAGATAGACTTTGCCTACTTCACCCAGTTCTTCTAAAAAAGTAGATAGGCTCACACATTTAAAGATTCAACCTTTTATTTCTTCTGTTCACAATTGCAGTTATATGCTGTCAAAGAATCTCTAGATCTTGCATTCAAAGCCTTCTGTTTGGCTAAAGAATGTTTAATCCAGCCAGCAGCTCATTTTAGCAGAAGGGGGTCTGATGAAAACCCACTTAATTTGTTTCAGCACTGGGTCTCTAAAACTTCTTGACAATACTTAAAACTGTTAATATCTTCTAAAACTTATTTTACCAAGATAAATTTCAAGGAGAATGCAGAAAATAAAGCAGTAGTATGTGCAGATTTTAATCAATACTGTATAATAATCAATTGAAATAAAAGGGAATTTTTTTACTCAGTAAAAAGTTGATTGGGTTTTATTAGCTTTTCTTGTTTTGAATAATTAAGGCTTTTTATCTCTCCTAGTTTTCTTTTTAGTTATTTGGATTCTGTAAAAATGAAACTCTGTTTTTAAACCAATGATAGTTTCTTAAATGGATCATGATCTCCCTGGTAGAAATTGTATTTTCTCCTAAGCAGGGTCTAGTCTATTGTTAATATCACTATGTCAACTAGAAGGAAGGAAAGTTTGAGTAGTATAAAGAGAAAGCTCTGGCACACGATTTCTTAAAAAGTCTCTGAAACTTAACAATTAACTTCTTAAATCAGGACTCAGAAAGTTGATCTATTTTTCTACATCTTGGTCTCATGATGCCTTTCAGTATCGACATTTTAGAGTTTTGAGCTATAAATATGACAGTATAATCGGTATAATCCTTTTTTTTTTTTTTTTTTTTTTTTTTTTTTTTTTTTTTTTTTTTTTTTTTTTTTTTTTTTTTTTTTTCAACGTTTTTATTTATTTTTGGGACAGAGAGAGACAGAGCATGAACGGGGGAGGGGCAGAGAGAGAGGGAGACACAGAATCGGAAACAGGCTCCAGGCTCCGAGCCATCAGCCCAGAGCCCGATGCGGGGCTCGAACTCACGGACCGTGAGATCGTGACCTGGCTGAAGTCGGACGCTTAACCGACTGCGCCACCCAGGCGCCCCCGGTATAATCCTTTTGTTGAAAACATGGGTATTAGCTTACAGATGTAGAGCTGGACTCTGGTAAACTAGTGAGTGAGGGAAGGGTATATGTATTTTTTCTTTATTCATCGAGCCGTTCTTCTAGAGTCGTTAGGTCAGCTGTCATGTTGGTGCTTTCCTGCTTTGTTCTTGAGAGTCACTCAATGACTGGTGACTGGCTGCTGGAAAGGAAAGCTTTCAGCAGATTAATGCTGGGGCCCTCCTGTCTTCTCCTTCACCAGTAGCAGCTGCATTCTGCCCTTTCTGTGGCCTTGAAAGGAAGGGAGGGAGGAAGAGAGGGAGTGTGTGTGTGGTGGGGGAGGAAGGGGCTCGATCTCTGTCAGCGTGCATTACCGAGGTTTCTCAACACATGGAATGAGATCTTTCCCAAGAAATTCTGTCAAGGCCAGTACACATGGGAAAAATATTTCTATGCTTAGTCTTGTAACTGTGATTGTTTTTTTGTTTTACGGGATAAAAAGGAATTTAGGTCATGTGACATAGCTGTGCTCCACCTCTGTATTTACCTGTCCTTTCTTTTTCAACTCTCCCAGGCATCAGTACCTGTCCAAAGATCACTCTAGTTCCACCTTGTGTGAAAAGCAGCACAACCCCACGGGTTGATCAGAATGTATCTGATGAAGAGGCTCAGGGAATAAATGGAAAAACGCCAGCAAAACACTCAGCTGCAAGTCCAAAGCCACAAGGTATGCTGGTGGGTTGTTTTTTCTTTTTCTTTTTCTTTTTTAATTAGATTGGGTGTTTTGTTCATTGATGAAGGCTATCCAGAAGAATGATAATGACTAAGAAAGAGTTTTAAGCTTTCAATGGGAGGAATTGGGTGCATTTATTTTTTTCAGGGGAAAAAAAATGAGTCTCAGGCAGAGTTGGGTATTTGTTCTGCTCCTAAAACACCTTATACATTTTTTCTCTTAGGGTTCTTTTCTCATTGCTGGAATTACTGTCCCTTACAGGGACACTTCATGTATTATGCTTGACCTCGTACAGGGCCTAACTTACTATTTGCATAATAAATGTGTGACAAATGAATGAGTGCTGTCAGAAAGTCAGTATGCCTTGCTAGATTTCAGAGGATCTGTGAAACAGATCATTGTAAAACCGTGCTTAACATACTTAGTAAATGTGATTTTCTACTGTTCAGGAACTGGGGCTTGAAAAGGCTTCACAGAAATTGAAATAAATGGCTCATCCATTCAGGAATTGAGCAGCCAACAAGGGGAGGAAACAATTACAATGGTGGAAATCTTTGAATATTTTGTTCAGGAACCATTTCCTTTTAGCAATAAATTTCTGGTGAACCAGGTATTAACTGTGAGAAGCACAAAATTACAGTTTTGATGGTACACAGTAAGGCCTTTGGAAACGTTAACACAAAGCTAAGCTCTACTATGATTTAATGTGTAGTTTCTTCCGAATAAATTTTTATTTATACCAAATGCTGAGCATTTTGATTTATGTTGTATTAACTTTGGTCTCTTTCCTGTTCTTGCAAGGAAAAAAGTGTTATAGAGAATCTATCATAAAAGAGTGACTGTTACTCTTTAAAGTTCTTATGTTTTTAGGATTTCTGAAAGAGACCTTTAAAAGGGGCTTATCTTCCAGATTATGGGACGTTTTCCTTTTTGTTCTCACTGGTAGCTGTATTTGTAGTCGTATCAAGTATGACTGTCAAGTAAGGTCAAATAATTGGTGCTTCAGATGAATGGTCCATTCATGAGTTTATAGCCTTTTATTTTGGCCATCTCTCTCCCTATTTAATTCATATGAATATGAACATAGACATTTTTTTGAGCATGATTTAAGCTATTTTATTGACAAAATACAAGGTTCCCTCTTGCTCATTAGACCTCAGCTGACAAAGATCAAATGAGGTAAGACTATAAAAAATGAATGCAATTCAGTTTTATGTAATTGCCCAGATCACAACAGGAATTTCATTATTTAATAAAGTCTTTTTTGGGAAGATGCATTACTTCATTGTTTTTCGTAGTTCATTGAGATAAATTACACAAGTGTCCTTCCTGAGCTATGTGCCAAAATAATCATATTCTTTAGGGAGACAACACTTGAGCTTGCCTTTGCTGTTTGTAGCTTAATGAAAGTTTAATAGAAGTCAGTATTTTGATATTTAAATACATATTTACTTCCTGTTTTGAATATGGGTTAATAAATATAATTTTATATAACTATAGGGACTATTTTCAGATTTTAAATAAATGACTTTAGAGAACATTATACTTTAAAAGTACTCTCACTCATTGTTTGGCCCTTCCCTAGTTCCCCAGCTAAAATTTTAACCCCACCCTAACCCTTGATATTTTGTGTTTCCTCCAACGTATGTTATGTTTTCGCATTCACTGCAGTCTGACCTAGAATATGTTTCATTCGTCCATCTTAGTTTTCTTCTGCCTTTGTACTGCCAGTCCCTCCATAGCAGAGCAGGCCTTGAGCAACACTTGTTGAATTGGCTCCCTGCTCCATTACCACGTTTCCTCTATTTTGTTTCTGCTGTTCTTTGCTTAAGACTTGGAAGAATGTGTGCCATATAGAGAAAAACATTCAGGAGAGAAGGCTACATCTTGGTATTGTCAGATCAGCTGCCAAAGAGATTGGGGACTACTTATTGACCAAATGAAAGTGTTCTCCACCCTCTAGTGGAGAGAAGCTTACTTTTAATTTCTCCAAACTCTTAAGAATATTTGGATAACTGAAGGGGAGAAAGCAAAGGGATATCATGGGGACTTCCTGCACACATCAAGAGATTATCACACTGATATCTTTATTCCCACTTAATTGCAAATCGTGAATGGTGAGCCTACTGACGCTTTAAGCTCCATTATGTAATTTTAATTTAATTGAAGATGCTTATTTCTTTCTTGAGAGAGAGTGCACACATGAGTGGGGGGAGGGACAGAGGGAGAGGGAGAGAGAATCTTAAACAGCGAGTCTCAGTCTCAGGACCGATCTCAGGACTTCTCAGCACTGTGAGATCACGACCTGAGCCGAAGTCAAGAGTCACCACTCAACTGACTGAGCCACCCAAGGGCCCTGAAAATTCTTATTTTAGATAAGTGTTCTCAACTGGAGACAATTTTGCAGCCCCACCCCGCACCCCAGCCCACCCACTCCATCCCACCCCACCCCACTGCCCATACTTGGTATTGTCTAGAGAATTTTTTGCTTGACACCATTTGTGGGAGTTTCTAATGGCAGCTAGTGGGCAGAGGCTAGGGATGCTGTTCAGCGTCTTACAATGCACAGGCCAGCCCCCTCAAAACAAAGAATTATCAGCTATGAAATGTCAGTAGTTTGAGAAACTCTGATCTGGATCTTCAAAAGAGCTCATAAATAAATGTGGTTTTTTTTTCCTCATGTGGAGTGCTAATAATATCATAGCTATTTTAGTGATATTTATTTTATTTATTTTTAAATTTTTTTAATTTTTATTTTTGAGAGAGAGAGAGAGAGAGAGTGTGTGTGAGCAGGGGAGGGGCAGAGAGAGAGGGAGACACAGAATCCGAAGCAGGCTTCAGGCTCCGAGCTGCCAGCACAGAGCCCAACACTGGGCTCGAACTCAAAAGCCATGAGATCATGACCTGAGCCGAAGTGGGACGCTCAACTGACTGAACCACCCAGGCGCCCCAATTTTAGTGATATTTAAAAGGAAGCACAATATTAAATACATTTATTCATGGTGATTATATACTAACGTGTCTGGAACAATATCAGGTTTCTATTTTTGTGTTTACTAGTAAGTCAGTCATGGGGATATAGTGTACAGCTTGGTGATTATAGTTAATAATACTGGATTTTGTATATTTGAAAATTGCTAAGAGAAGAGATCTTCAAAGTTCTCATCACGTAAAAAAAAAAAATGTTAACTGTGTGGTGATGGATGTTAATTAGACTTTGGTGATCCTTTGGCAATAATACAAATATTGGATCATATTATACACCTGAAATTAAAATAATGTTGCATGTCATTATATCAATTAAATACCAACAAGTATTTTTGAAGAATTACGGTTTTTAAAACAATAAAAGTGCTAAATTTTAGATGAGATAAGCTTACATTTGAATGTAAGTAAGAGCCTGTAGCTTTTGAAATGGATTCCTTCAATAGTTAGGGCTTATTTTGCCTCAGCCTCAGAAATACCCTAAAGCCTTGGAAAACAATGGTTTATTCACTTCATACCAATCCTACCAGTCAAACAAATAAATTACTGAGCAACTTCCAACATAAGTCTTTATTCTTGCTTACCACTTTTAATATTGGCCTATTTCCTGCCATGCTAGACATAACTCAAAATAACTTCCTTAGCAATTAAAGCTAATAGTTCTTTTTCTCTTAGGAGCTTTGATCCACAACATTCTCCATAGTTAATTATTTTGATAGAGCCTACATATTATCACTTGTCAATCATTAAACCTTAATGTTTAAAAAGTATCATGAACTTTGAAACATTATTGCCTAAATAATTTAAGTAAATGTAAAGTGCTCAAACCTATTCCATTTGCTCTTAAAGTAAAGCATTCTATGTGTAATGTCGCATTTTTAAAGTATAATATGTTATAAATGTATAATGCATTAAAAATAGCCAGCTATATAGGACGCCTGGCTGGTTCAGTTGGTAGAACATGCGACACTTGATCTCAGGGTCATGAGTTTGAGCCCATTTTTTTTTTAATGTTTATTTATTTTTGAAAGACAGAGCACAAATGGGGAAGGAGCATAGAGAGAAGGAGACACAATATCCAAAGCAGGCATCAGGCTCCGAGCTGTCAGCACAGAGCCCGACGCAGGGCTCGAACCCGCAAACCACAAGATCATGACCTGAGTTGAAGTCAGACACTTAACCAACTGAGCCACTCAGGCGCCCCTCAAGCCCCATGTTAAGCGTAGGGTTTACTTTAGAAAAAAAAAAAAGCCAACTATTGTTTTTCATAGTAAGTAAAATAAGAGTAACCAAATCCTCTGGTAATCCCCAAATTTAAACTGTTAATTTGGGGTTTTTTTTCATGTTCAGTAATTATTTTGGATGGTTGGATTTTTTTTAATGTTTATTTATTTTTGAGAGACAGAGTGTGAGCATGGGAGGGGCAGAGAGAGGGAGATACAGAATCCAAAGCAGGCTCCAGGCTCCGAGCTGCCAGCACATAGCCCAACACGAGGCTCGAACTCAAAAGCCACGAGATCATGACTTGAGCCGAAGTGGGATGCTCAACCGACTGAGCCACCCAGGCGCCCCTGGATGGTTGGAAATTGTTAAGTAAATTGTTTTATTGTACTTATGGTCTGTAAAATTGGCTGTAATAAGCCCATTTTATTTATAGTCAACTAGATAATGTCAAACTTATCATGTCCATAACTGGACTGCTGATCTTCCCTCCAAAAATTGCTTTACCTGTTTTGTCCCTTGATGAAAATTCCATCCTTCCAGTGGTTCAGGCTGAAGGTCTCCAGAGTCATCCTTGATTCCTCTCTCTTTCTCTCATACCTCACATTTATTCTTCCAGGAAGTCTACTTTTATTTATTTATTTTTTAAGTTTATTTGAGAGAGAGAGAGAGCATGAGCAAGGGAGGGGCAGAAAGTGAGAGAGGGAGAGAGAATCCCAAGCAGGCTCCACACTCAGCACAGAGCCCCACACAGGGCTTGACAACTGTGAGAACATGACCTAAGCCAATGTCAAGGGTCCGAAGCTTAACTGCCTGAGCCACCCAGGTGTCCCAGGAAGTCTGCTTTTAAAACATACCTGGAAACCAACGTTCCTCACTGCCTTCTTCTAAGTACTCTTGGCTCTTGGCTGAATTTCCACAGTACTCTCCTGACCCTTCTCCCTGCTTCTACCCTGTTTCTCTGCATTGTCAACATTGCAGCCAGAGTGACACAGTTGGACAGAAGTCCTGTCATGTTATTTGTCTTCACAGAAGTCTGTGGCGACTTCTCATTTCACTCAAAGTCACTATTCTTACAGGGTTCCCCAAGATTCTACATTATCATGCCCTCCCTCTGACCTCAGTACCTACTCTTGCCTGTTTGCTGCTTTGACTTCGGTCACATTGGCTTCCATTATCTCTAGCTTGTTCTATACTTGATGGCATGCTCTTCCCAAGGTAACTCCCCCAACTTCCAGTCTTCTTCAAATCTGCACCTTTCAAAGAGGCCCCCTTTGAATGCCCTACTTAATACTGCAATCTGCACTTCCTACCATATTCCAGATCCCTTTAATCTTGTTCTGAGCCCTCCCCCTTCTTTCTTAGCTCTCACCACCTTCTCATATATGGTTTACTTATTGGACATTTTTGTTTCATTTCCTTTGCTCATTGATAAGATCAAGTGGATAGAACTTAATACGTATTCAGTAATACTGAATTAATTTAAAAATTTTTAAAGCTCTGTATAGATATGTAAGAATTGCTGTAGGATATATATTTTGGAAATGTCAAGTTCTTTTTTTTTAATTTTTTTTTTTTATTAACGTTTATTTATTTTTGAGACAGAGAGAGACAGACCATGAACAGGGGAGGGGCAGAGAGAGAGGGAGGCACAGAATCTGAAACGGGCTCCAGGCTCTGAGCTGTCAGCACAGAGCCTGACGCGGGGCTCGAACTCACAGACTGTGAGATATGACCTGAGCTGAAGTCGGACGCTTAACCGACTGAGCCACCCAGACGCCCTTGGAAATGTCAAGTTCTTAATGGTTCTGTAAATTTATACTCCCTCCCAGAATGTGTGAGATTTCATATTGTCTGATTCCCTCACTGACAGTTGGTATTGTCAGATTTAAATTTTTTGGTTAACTTGATGGTGCTGAAGTAGAATACTTCCCTAATTATTAGCGAGGTTGAACACTGTTTTTATTACTTTACATCCCTTGGGCTACAGCGGGAAGAAGTAGTAACTTAAGTTTCAGGATTGAAGTGGAGGTGCTGATAGAACACCGAGGAGATGTCCAGAGAGCATTTGGAAGTTGGGGAAAAGAAAGATGAGAAATGATGAGAGAGGAGGTGGGGGAGGGAAAGACAGTCATTTTTACATCAGTTACAGTTTTTGACCAAAATACACATAATTTCCCCCTAGGACCGTGTTTCTGACGCGTTAGCCATTCATGTATCATCTTGAGATTTTTGTCATATACCTGTAACATTTGTACTCTTTTATTTAAGATGTGCATATTTACTTTATTTTCCATTTGGGTTGTCTCCCTTTGCTGAGATAGATGCCTCCTCTGTGCTTCTAAAACACCCCAATGCCCACCTTTCCCAACATTGCTAAGCTGTTTCCTCACTAGATGATGAACTCCTTGATGACACTAATTTGTTCCTTCGTGTATTCCACAAATTTGCCAAGCACTGTGCATGTGGTTACTGTGAATATATTTGTGATCAAAATAAACTTGTTTCTTACCCTCACAGAATGCCAATCTTGTGAAAGAGAAAGCTTTATATCTCTAATATACTTACTGTTTTATTTCTGGTTGGTGCGATACTGTTTGACTACCTAATCATAATAATTTATTATAAACACTTTGGAGAAAAAGTACACTATCCTCCGAAACAGTTTAAGAGATAGGCATAGTTGAGACAGGAAAATGCCTGATATGTATATATCTCCACAGGAAATTTTTCCTTAAAATTGACAAATGTCACACTTATTTAGGTATGTATCATCTTATTTGAGTTTTCTAAGCATCTAAGAGAGTCTGATATGTAATAAGTAAGTAATGTTCACTGAGTAAACTCTGGATGGATGAGTTACAAGAATTTCATAACAATGTTTATATAACCATTTTTACCGGGCTATAAATAACATATTCATTCCCTTTTTTGAATATTCTAATTAGGAATGTTGAAATTATTTCTGATATTAAAACTGCTTTTTTGGTGGGATCTTGTCCTACTTTGCTATTTTGGTATATATTCTACACAGGAAATTTTTCCTTAAAATTGACAAATGTCACACTTATTTAAGTCCCTTCTTTTTCAATGGGTACTATATTTAACCATCCCCACTGAGCAGATCTTGGAAAATAATTCCATTTCCATATAAAAGAAGCATATCATTTTTTTAATCGGGATTTTCTTCTTGCCTCAAAAGGGAATGAGGTGAATTAATTATTCCTCCTCTAGTTCATTGTGATATGTTTTTCTTCTTCTTCTTCTCGGAAAGAATTGATAACTGGCATAGAAATGATGACATCTGGGCCAGTGAGCATCAGGCAACTGTCAGCTAGCCGAGTTTATAGAAGAAATGAGATGACTAAAAACCAGGATAACCAGCTGGGGGAAAATGTGGCATGTAATTAGGAGACATGATTCTCCTCCCTTCTTTTGGAAGTTAGGAGAAGGGTTTAAAAAAAGAAAAAAAAAGATTTTATTTAATTTGTTAGAACCAGTTATAGAAAAATACATACATGTTCTATAATCCTTTGCCCAGAATGTTAATCTAAGAGGCAAAGTATATTGATTTTCAAAACTGAAGTAATTCCTATACTGGTAAAGCACTTATGGCATATTATATTTTCTCATCTACAGAATTCCTCATCTGTTAAGAGAAATTCTGTGGATTTTAGTATTTCAGGAAATGATCTGTTAACTGAGGGAAGGGCTTAGTAGTAAGCAACGAATCTGTGGTGTATTAATACAAGCCAACAATTAACATAGCAGACAATACTAGTAGAACTCCTATCACCCCCTTTTGCTGGATGTGTGATGAGGAGCAGTGCTGGAGGAGGAAGGAGCTAGAGTCTGGGTACCAGTCATGGAATCAGATCAGCCTTATTCCTCCAGGCCAATCACTTAACCACTCTGATAAGAGGTGAATAACGCTACCTACCTCAAAGGACTGTGATGCGAAAGATTTCCTCTAAGATCAAATGAGATAAGGAGTTTTTGTTAAATGGGAAGATGCTACAGTAATTACTGTTGTTTGATGTTGTTTTGTTGGCTTTTATGTCTAATTTACTAGCTTTGGATTCTGGTATATTACTTATCACTCTGTTGTTAGAAAATCTGTTTTGTAGCAAGCAGTGTATCCCTGGGAATTAGTTTCAAACTTAGTACTTTCTTTTCTCTGTTTAGATAAATAACTGCTGTGTTATCTCTAATAGGTTTGGGAAGGTCATAGAAATATATAGATCCTTAGATGTTTAATAAAGCCATATTTAAAATGACCTAAAATTAAAAGAACCACTTGATTCTTGGAGATGGGATTTCCACAGGACACAGCGAATGTCTAAGATAGTTGGAAGTCTGTTGATTAAGATTCAATACAGATTTGATAGACCCCTTTACAGAAGCTTGATAATGCTGAAGATTTTTGCATGAGATATGAAATATGTTTGCTGTGGAACACATCTTAGTGAAATATTCAATTCTTTTCATTTTTTGTCTACAGTGCCTCCAAAGCCATTACATCTGCAGAATCCACCTTCGTCTAATATACACCAAACTCCCAGGCATAAAGCTTTATCTAGTGCAAAACCAAGGATGGAGGAAGTTAAACCTGCCTCTGCTTCTTGTGTCTCAAAAGAAAAACCCAGCAAGGTATCTGATCTCATCAGTCGCTTTGAAGGAGGCAGGTAAGAGCTAATATACAATGGGAAAAGGACGTGGGGAGAGAAAAGCTGTTTGTTTCATTTTAAGATGATAGAGTAATAGATTCTGTAATTCAAAAGTATTTTATTCTACTGGGTTTGGTAGGCTTTTGGAAAGAGTAAATTTTAAAAATATTTAAACTTGCCCTAATATGAATTACCATTTTCTGTATATGACCGGTGTGTAGCACTCTGTGCCAGAAGCTTTTTTATCATGCTGTGTGCTGTATAGATCAATAGATACACTCTCTCATTTCCTTTGTATTTGCCTGTGTCACTCTGGGTTACTCCATTGCATCCTTCTGTTTGTGGCTAGATGTCTGGGTCGGAAGAGCAGGAGGTTGCCTCTGTCTCTTTGTTTCTCACTTTGTATGTTTGTGCATGTAGTTTCTGCCGGCCTGTGCCATCTCTGTGGCCTTCTTTCTGACCCACTTTATTTAACAGTCCCTAGTCCCCTCTCTTCCCTCCTTTGTAAGGAGGAGATATTGCCAGCAGCAAAATGCATGCTCAGTTTTGCATTTATTAGATACAATTTTATATTCTTTAGTCCTAATGTTTCAAAAAAAGTAGGTGAAAAGTGTATTTCTCACTTAAAAAAAAAAATAAACTCATATATGACCTCAGTTGCTTTTTCTTGGAATGCCCATCACTGATAGAAGTTTTTTAAAAAAATTTTGTCAGAAGGATTTTATCTGTCACCAAAAGTCTGTATTTAATTAAGCAACATATATAGCCTCCCTTTCATCCTTGAAGCTAAATGTTTCCATTTATTCTGGTGTAATACTTGGGAATGGTTTCCCACTGGGTGATTTCATGATTTATTTGCAGGATGTATTGTTATTTATATAGTGGATCATAGCTTGGAAATACTTCAAAAATCTTCTGAAAATTGTGACCAAGTGCAAAACTACAACGTCCCTCATTTAAAATGCTGGGGTGCCTGGGTGGTTCACTCGGTTAAGTGTCTGACTTGGGCTCAGGTCATGATCTTGTGGTTCGTGGATTTGAGCCCCATGTCGGGCTCTGTGCTTAACAACTCAGAGCCTGGAGGGTGATTTGGATTCTGTGTCTCCCTCTCTCTCTGCCCCTCCACCAATTTGTGCTCTCTCTCTCTCTCAAAATGAATAAACATTTAAAATAAAATGAGACTATAGTAACAAGTTCTTGACAAAAGGAGTCCAGAAGCCTGTCTTCATTTTTCATTCCCAATCAATTGTGGGAATTTGTGTCATAAACACTAAAACTTCAACATCTTTCCCTCTGAAGTAGGAATTTTAATACCTTTGCTACCTTAAATTATAGTAATCTTTACTAGAATGATTTAGGAAAGAACAGTTAATTTTTTTTCCTCAGGGCAAGTTGATTCAGTAGCACAGAGAATGACCCTTAACGTGTGCAGATTCCCAGGGCCAAATCCAGTGACTGCATAATATCAGGAAATATCAGGAAGGCCTGGAGCCCGGACCCCTGTCTGTAGTGCATACCTGGTCTGGGGGTGGCTTTAGAAAGCCCATGGGGCACCTGGGTGGCTCAGTGGGTTGAGCGTCCGACTTCAGCTCAGGTCATGATCTTGCTCGCGGTCGGTGAGTTCGAACCCCACGTCGGGCTCTGTGCTGACAGCTCGGAGCCTGGAGCCTGCTTTGTATTCTGTGTCTTCCTCTCTCTCTGCCCTCCCCCGCTCATGCTCTGTCTTTCTCTCTCTCAAAAACAAATAAACTTTAAATAAAAAGATTAAAAAAAAAAAAAAAGAAAAGAAAAGAAAGAAAGCCCTGAGTGGGTCAGTATTAACAGGTTGAGCCTTCTGATTCTCACCATTTTGGTAACCCAACTGTTTGCATTCCTGCCCATACACAAAATGGGCATAGTTTTTCCACCTGTTAATACCAGTTTTCTTTGACTCTTTCAAACCTCACAGATTCAAAGTCATTTTTTGATGCAAAGTTTGAAGGTTGTATCTAAAGAGAGATGTTGTGGCTTAGGACATTTTAAGCAAACTTGCTTTAAGTGTAGATAGAATGTAACGTGAGCATTTTGGCAAATCTGGTGAAGGGGTGTTACTTGTAGCAGAGTCGGCTGCCAGTTTTAAAAAACGATTGTCTGTTCTTAGTGAGGTATTACTAGTAGGAACTGGCCCTAAAAGTGTGTGAATGGGTTAGCGTTGCATTGAGTCTACAGGACTTGAATGGAAGTTGTATTTCCTGTTGAGTGATGTCCATGTGCCTACAGTGTGTGTAGCTCTCAGGTTTCACCCCAGTTATTACAACTCAGACTGGCATTTTGTGGAATAGAGATTCATCAGGCCAAGTTACCACAGTAAACTGACAGGAAGAGTGGGATCATAGACCACCAACTATTAGACCACCCTATTAAGACTTTACCTAGGAATCAGAATTTTGCTCTGCAGTAATGCAGGTAACACTATTAAGATGAGTGATTTGGAGGATGTCGTTGGAGCATGTAAATTTTATTTACTTATTTATATATTTATGTATGTATTATTAGGTTTTTTGGTTTTTTGGGGTATAAGACAAACTGGTATTTTTAACCTATGAAAGATTTCAGGATTATAGAAAGAAATAACATCTTCCGTGAAACTGAACACTGGTTTTCCTAAGGCACTTCAAGGCCAACTGTTTTTCCGCACGGTCTGGCGTCCACAAACCAGCAGGAATATATGTATTGGCTCAACCACTGCCCTTACTTACCTCTCCCCACCTTATCCCTATCCCACCTCTACCTGCATATCCCCTGCATGTTACTTATTACAGGAAGTTCTTATCTTTCATGCCTAACTATTCTTTCCAAAAATCCCAAGCAAGTCTAAAGTTTGGTTCAGAGGATCTGCTGGGGATTTTTCTATTGGGTTTCTGGACACTGATGTGGGCAGGAAAAGGAAGACCATACCACTCAAATGTCCAAAAACTGCTTGAGAAATTGTCTAGGCTAAGGGTATACTCTCCCAGAAGGCAAATATTAATGGTGGAGTATGTGATATTTATTTATATTGACAACGACCAACTTTATATATGTGACATTTTCCCCTGCCAGATTTTTCCTTCCCTTCCTGTGGTGCTGAGCTTACCTTGTCTTTTTTTCCTCCCTCATTACCTTATTGCGGTCTGTTGTTGTTCTCTGTTCCATTCTCCAGTCCAGATCAGCAGTGTCCAGGAGGAGTAGAATGAAGGGAGAAGGAAATGCACATCTCAGCACTGTCCATGAACCGTGTTGCTGTGTCCTCTACCCTGTAACGTCGGTCTGCTCTGGGGAAGAGGCCACCTCTGGACTTTATTCCCACATTTTATATGCAGCCTGCTCACTTGCTTCTCACTCCATCTTTCATGTTCTAGTGTGTTACAATGTGGGGTTAAGACCATGGAATTTAGAGTCAGACTTTACGGTTTGGACTCTAGCTTTATCATTTCTTAGCCATGTGATGCCACCATGTTATGTAAGTGTCCAAGCTTCAATTTCCCTATTTTGGGGTCCTGTTTTCAATTATTATGAGTAGAAACAAATAATGTAAAGAATACCATGTACTTTCCAGCACTTAATAAATGTTAGCCACTGGGCGTGCCTGGGTGGCTCAGTTAGTTGGGCGTCCGACTTTGGCTCAGGTCATGATCTCGCTGTTCGGAGTTCTGGCCCCACATCAAGCTCTGTGCTGACAGCTCGGAGCTGAGAGCCGAGAGCCTAGAGCCTGCTTCAGATTCTGTGTCTCCCTCTATCTGTCTGTCCTTCCCCCTCTCATGCCCTGTCTCTGTCTCTGTCTCTCTGTCTCTGTCTCTCTCTCTCTCTCAAAAATAAATAAACATTAAAAAAAACTTTAAAATAAATGTTAGCCGCTGTTATGAATTACTGCCATGATCACCATCACAATCACAGTTACTCATTGCTGATTACTGAGCACTTTCCTATTTCCAGCACTGTGCTAAGCAGTGGGGGTAAAACAGAGAGAACATGATAGGCATGTTCCGCGCCCTCACAGACTACTAGTCTGTACTCATTTTTGTCTCCTTATTAGGTCATAGGAATCTCTCCAAGACGGCAGCCCAGAGATTTATGTTTTTCCTCCCTGGAATCCTAGATTAAAATGTTATGCAAATATTTCTATAGGGACATTGTAATATATTGGCGGTTAGGTTCCATTGTATACTATTAAGAGCTATATACAATATCAAGTAATAACAAGGGCTTTAAGGAAGACTAAAATGAGATGTGTAGTTGGTGGTAGAGTGTGCTATAATAGAATAATTCAGGAGGTGATGTCTGAGCAGAATCCTGAATGAGGGGAAGGAGTCAGCCTTCCCATACCTAAGACATACCAATGTCTTAGGGAAGTTGTTTGGGCAAAGAGAACAACAGCTGCAGAGATCCTTAGATGCACACATTGGCTTGTTGGGAATGTGGGAGCAGCAAGGAGGCAGGAGGGGCAGGAGCACAGCAAGGGAAGAGAATGGAAATGAATGAGGCTGGGGCTAGCAGGGGCTTGTGTGTACACAATCCTGAGCCATTGTCAGAATGCTAGACTACCTGTAAGTGTACAGGGTGCCCTCAGAGAGTTCGACCTCCGTGGTTGACCTAGAGAGATGGATTCCAAGGGGTGGAGAGTGGAAGCAGAGAGATAAGTTAGGTTATGGCAGAGCAGGTGACAAAGTTTCTGAGAATATGTGTTCTGCTTTCCAAACAAAAGTAACCTTTGGTTTCCAACCTGTTGATAAACTGAGGGGCTGACTATACTTGTTTTTAAAATGTTATGAAAGTACGGGGCGCCTGGGTGGCGCAGTCGGTTAAGCGTCCGACTTCAGCCAGGTCACGATCTCACGGTCCGTGAGTTCGAGCCCCGCGTCGGGCTCTGGGCTGATGGCTCAGAGCCTGGAGCCTGTTTCCGATTCTCTGTCTCCCTCTCTCTCTGCCCCTCCCCCGTTCATGCTCTGTCTCTCTCTGTCTCAAAAATAAATAAACGTTGAAAAAAAAAAAATTTAAAAATAAAAATTAAAAAAAAAAAATAAAATGTTATGAAAGTAAAATCTTGGAAAAAGATGGCTTTATTAACTATAAATGTGTCTCACATCTCTGTCCTTACAAATGAGCCGTACTGATAAACAGCCTAAGGAAATGTTCCAGACCCTGTAGCTAATGCTCAGTCTTATCATCTTTATTGAAATGTTTATTTAAGGGTGTATAGTATCCCAAGAGACTAAGAACTATACCCGCCTATTCTAATCCACATTTCTAAAACCATCAGAGGAAAGTCTTCACTAAATACCTCCTTTCAGCTGGAATAAGCTGGTCTGTCTTATAGAACTTTCCCATGCCAGTGTTTTCACCCTTCTTTTGTATTTTATCTTCTAGCACATTATCAAATTACAGTGATTTGAAGAAAGATTCTGCTGTGCACCTGAATGCTCCTAGGACACCAGGAAGGCATAAATTGACAACCACCCCTCAGCAAAAGCTCCTCTCCCAGCATCCACCACAGAAGCAGGGAAATGACACAGATCCAACTCAGGGTGTACAGACTGGTGTGGCTAATGGTGTGATGGCAGCACAAAACCAGATGGAGTGTGAGGAGGATAAAGCGGCCACTCTTAGCCCAGATACTCCTATTCAAACTTCAGAACCCTTGCTTGCTATGAACTTAGTGAATGGAGAAGGAAAGGAGAAAACTACCACAGAACCCGCATCACCCACGGCAAATGACTATGATGGAAACGCGTCTGATAGTAGCTGCAGGACCTCCACTGTCAGCCAAGGGCTCCCCCTAGAAGAAGGAAGGGCAGATGCGGAAGCAAACGTGCAAGAGCGGGAAGATGGAGAAAGCCCTCTGGAACAGGAACAGCTGGACCAGCACCAGGAGATGAAGGTAAAGCGGGAGACTGGCTCAGAAGTAGGAGGAAGCACCACCTGTTCCACTACTGTCTTAAAACTCTACTTAATAGCACTCGTGAAAGCAATGAGTCAGATCACCCACACTACCAGTTAAACAGTTTTAAGCTTTAGCTGCTAATGGATGTTTCCTCTACTCTATGAGAAAACACTTCACTTTTTCTTGTGTAGTTTCTGTTGATCTTTCTCTTGTGATTTCAAGAGTCAGAACGTTCTGAAGACTTTAATGTAGGAAAACCACAAGCTTATTGTTTTTACTTGCATAGGAAGAAAATGTTCTTTGTTGCTCTAGATGTTAGGGGCACATCCCTAGTATATTTACGGGATAAGCAAGAAGAAATTGTATACTCTTTGCTTTTCAGACATTTCTAATCTAGACCTGGAAGAGTAACTTGAACCAGCAAATGTTTCAAGTAAGGACAGAAATATGGAGGGGGCCGGGCACCCGGGTGGCTCAGTCAGTTAAGCATCCAATTCTTGATTTTGGCTTGGGTCATGATCTCACAGTTGGAGAGTTCAAGCCCAGCATCGGGCCCTGTGCTGACAGTGTGGAGCCTGCTTGGGACTCTTTCTCTGCCCCTCCCCCACCCAAGCATGCACACATGCTCTCTCTGTGTCTCTCAAATAATAAAAAAAACAAAAATTTTTAAAAAGGATGCAAATATGGAAGTATTCACACATTATTCAGATTATAACCATAACTCTTTCCAGGCTTCTAATTTAAAATTTTTTTCTAACTAGTATGGTTTTAAAACAATTGACTTAATCTTGGATTTAAAGATGATCTCTTTAAAGATCATCTTAGTTCAGCAATTCATTTATAGAAGTAGAAACAGTTCTAGAAATCACTTCCAGAAAGTTGATGTGATTCTCTGGGGTCACAACAATAGCCTGGACCTCTTGGTGTTCTGACTCACAGACCAGTACTGTGTCCCTGATGCAAGAAATCACAAACTTAAGTGCCTGAATGCAGGAAATGTCAATGAATACGGCATCCATGAGTAATGTACTAGAGAGAGGTGAGGCTGTGGCAAAATGGAAGTTCACATCCTTTCTAAAGAGGGCTGCAGTTCAGTGAACTGCTTGAATGGCATTTCTGCCTGTGTGCAAAATCTAAGCTTACAAGGAGCTGATTTGCTGGTGAGATACATTCATAATTTACTTGTGCTATAGCAGAAGCTTTGATACAATTCTTATAACAAGAGCATTGCATTTGTATTCTTTTTTTTTTTTTTTTTTTCAACGTTTATTCATTTTTGGGACAGAGAGAGACAGAGCATGAACGGGGGAGGGGCAGAGAGAGAGGGAGACACAGAATCGGAAACAGGCTCCAGGCTCTGAGCCATCAGCCCAGAGCCCGACGCAGGGCTCGAACTCACGGACCGCGAGATCGTGACCTGGCTGAAGTCGGACGCTTAACCGACTGCGCCACCCAGGCGCCCCTCATTTGTATTCTTTATTCATGTCAATATAGTGCTTTGAAGAGATTAATAAATATGGCCTTTACACAGTACTTGGAATTTCTTGGGTCAAAGGTGCACTATAAGCATCATCATACAGTTCCCTAGAATAGAAAGTTTGTTTTTGTCTCCAAGGACAAAAAAAGTTCCCATTGCTCAGTCTCTCTTTGATTATAAATAACAATCTGTGTGGGAGAGTTGAGAATTGAAAATTTGACAATCATAGGAAAATCTGTAAATGACAAATCCAAGTCCTAAATCTAATATTTAGGATTTTTTAAAGTTTATTAATTTTAGGACACCTGGGTGTCTCAGGTTAAGTGTCCAACTTGAGCTCAGGTCATGATCTCACGGTCCATGAGTTCGGGCCCCGCATCCAGCTCTCTGCTGACTGCTCGGAGCCTGGAACCTGTTTCAGATTCTGTATCTCCCTCTCTCTGCCCCACCTTTGCCCGCACGTGCTCTTGTGCGCTCTCTCTCAAAAATAAACATTTAAAAAAATTTTTTTTAATGTTTATTTATTTTTGAGAGAGAGAGAGAGAGAGTGCATGCACAAGCAGGGAAAGGGGTAGAGAGAGGGAGAGAGAATCCCAAGCAGATTCCACACTGTCAGCACAGAGCCCAACATGGGACTTGAACCCACGAAATGCAAGATCATGACCCGAGCTGAAATCCAGAGTTGGACACTCACCTGACTGAGCCACCCAGGTGCCCCTCTATTTAGGATTGTTTATGGTGCTGTGCCTTAAGTGGCATTAACATTAGGCAGAAATTCAAAAGGACTGACTGATAGTAAAATATCAGAGTAAAAAGTGATTGATTGATGTTTTTAGAACTTTAACTAAAATGAAATCCACAGTATGGTACAGTTTTCACCAACCCTGAAAAAGATCCCAAATAGACAAAAAGCCAGTGGCTTATTTTCTTCCAGTTAGTGAATTAATTTTAAATGCTGACTCTCAAGCAGGGAAAGTTTAAATAAGGAAGTGGGTGGGAGAAAAGTGAGTCATACTTGGTAACATTATCTGAAACAGTAAAGAAACAGGACATTGCAAAATGAATCTCTTCACTACATCTTGATGTGGTCATAGATTTTAGTGTCTCTGTGCTTGAACCATGGTGAACAGAAGAGAAGGGTAGAATCGAGAACTCAAGACTCCTCATTTGTCCTTTTATAGTTGGAATGATGCCACCAGCAAGCATTTATAAAACAGTAAGAACTATTCTTATTAATATTTTGATTGGTAATGCCTGTGGTTGCTGGGTACTACTTTTTTTTTTCCTGTTCTATATTATTGTCTGTACATTCTCATTGATGAGTCTTATTTGGCTTGGGAAAGAATTAATAGGGCTTTCTTATTAAACTAGCGGAACGCACTAGTACAGCTGGCCTTTCTCCTAAGTGGGAATGTAAGTAGTAGATGGCACATGCTATGTGTGGGAAGAAAAATGACATCTTCTCTGCAGAGCTATTGCTACAAACACTACATGTGTCTCTCATCTAAAGGGGAGCATTAGGATTTAATATATATGTGGTGATAATATGTTCTCCTTTGCTGCTCTGGTGTCTGTTATATTGCATTGGTTCAAATATGCAAACATAAATATTAGTAATGTTAAGGTGGTAAATTTTATGTTATATATATTTTGCCACAGTTAAAAACAAACAAAAAGAAATGTTAAAAAAAAAATAGTATATAGTGGAACCATTGGAACCAGGAAATCTTGATGCTTCTTCTGACTTGTCCACTAACTAGTGATATGACCTCAAACAAATCAATTAAATTATTTGTGCCTTTAGTTAAAGGATATAAACTGGATGTGATCTTAAGGCCCTTTTCAGTGATAATGTCATAATAATTCTATGCTGTTTTTAATAGGTATATTTCTTTGTTAGTATAGCCATCCCCCCCATATTGTCAGCTGCTTCTTGAACTGTCTGGTGTGTTGAACGTCTAAGATACTATGGAATACTTTGAATTTCACTCTGCAGACAACTGAAAAAAATTACTTCAGTCTCTATATAATTCGATGTAGAGACTTAAATCAGAAGTCTTAAATAAGTTTCATTTGAACGAGTATTAATTTTTTTTAATGTTTATCATTTACTTTTGAAGGAGAGAGAGAGAGAGAGGCAGAGTGCGAGCCAGGGAGGGGCAGAGTGAGGGGGAGACCCAGAATCTGAAGCAGGCTCCAGGCTCTGAGCTGTCAGCACAGAGCCCGAAGTGGGTCTTGAACCCACAAACTGTGAGATCATGACCTGAGCTGAAGTCGGTCACCTAACCCACAGAGCCACCTAGGCGCCCATAACCAGTATTAAATTTAATGAGTATTTCTTAAATGCCCACCAAGAATGAGAGCAGGAGGGATTGGGGGATGGAGGGGTAGGAGCAGAATAGAATCACAAAGATAGTTCAGGAAAGTAGATACACATTAAACTAGATCTCTTTTTTTAATTTTTTAATGTTTATTTTTGAGACACAGAACGAATGAATGAGTGGGGGAAGGGCGGAGAGAGAGAGGGAGACACAGAGTCTGAAGGAGGCTCCAGGCTCTGAGCTGTCAGCACAGAGCCAGCATGGGGCTTGAACTCATGAACTGTGAGATAATGACATGAGCCGAAGTTGGACACTTAACCGACTGAGCCACCCAGGTGTCCCGACATTAAATTAGTTCTTGAACAGGTATTATTAATAATGAAAACTTATTTGAAAATTGTCTCAGCTTGTGTAACTTTCACTGATATCTAATGTATTGTGACCAAGAATCACTTCAGTGGTGAATATAGAATACTGTTACATTTACCATATAAAAGATAAAGAATACCTACCTCATTGAAACTCTTGTCCCTACCATACTTGAGCAAAGCTACACTTTTCCAATATTTAAACTTTTGCAGTATCAGTGATCTAAAATATAGCCAGACACCTCAAAGTAGGCAGATTGTTGTTTTTTTAAACCTCTGAACTAAAGGAAAATTGTGAGTACTTTGTGACACCTTTAGCTCTTACCCACAAGGTGTTATCAGTGTCTTTAAATTAAAGTTAGATATGTATAACATGAGATTAAAAAACTGAAATCTACTAAAGGGGATATGTTATAAGGAAACCTTAAAACCTGTACATGACAGGGAAGGTAGGGGCAGAAGAATATCATGTGTGCCTGTGCAGGCATGCCTACCTGAGGGCACAGTGGGCAGGGTGTGGACAGTATTATAATAGTATTTGGCATGATGAATTTGGGTTATCAAAAATAGCTTAAACTATATTAAGAGACTCAGGTAAATGGGTCAATCAGTACATTTTAGAATGAATTTCGTTTGAAATGGTTATTTTTTTTTTTCCCCTCAGATCTGTGTGCTTCAGTGGGTAAGTTTCATTAGAAATGCACTAATGTGGAATGCAGTCGTTGATTATGCCACATAATAAACACCTCTCTTTATAGTTTTCATGAGCCTGTTAGTATCCAAGATGTACTTTAACAGGTTGTGTTCATAGATCTTTCTGAGATTTATTCA